GACTTGTTCTTCCAGCACATTCAAGGCATGGTGTCTAGACGGCGTGCGCGGCGGTAATGCTTCTTCTGTGGATAACGTTATCGACTTTGTTTTTAGGTTGATGACAGCACCATGGAGGCATAAGAAGTCCATGCCAAGGATGACATCTCTCGAGCAACGCTGTAGGACTAGGAAGTCTGTAGGATAAATACAGCCGTTAATGGTGACTCTCGCTGTGCAGATTCCTGCAGGCGTTACGAGATGACCTCCGGCTGTGCGGATTTCAGCGCCTTTCCAAGCTGTCCTAACTTTCTTTAACTTTGCGGCGAACGACCCACTGATGACAGAATAGTCGGCTCCAGTATCGACGAGAGCGGTCACACTGTGGCCGTCGATAAGAACGTCGAGGTCGCTAGTTCGCCGTCTCGCATTACAGTTAGGGCGTGGCGTCGGGTCATGGCTGCGTCGGCTTGTTCGGCTGCTTCCATGTTGCGTCGTCAGGCCACCTTCGATAAGTGAGCTTTCGCCGTCAGGGCTTTGCCTGGTTGGCGTTGTGTTCGGAAAGCTCCGTCGCGGCGTCGTCGTCAGAGGAGGATCTTCGGTAGTTCGTCGCACAGCAACCGCACCTCCACCGGTTGCTGCCCTTAGTTTCCCGGATACGGGCTATAGGAGACCGGCCCCGCGTTGGGCCAGAGTACTGCCGGTGGTGCGGTGACGTGCGGCGGCTGGGCGACGGCGAACGAGAAGGGCTTCGTGGTGTCCACCGAGTTCCTGTCAGGTAGTCGGCGATGTCACGTGGTCATTCTCCTGGCTGTGGACGCGGTGCATTGACGGCGAAGCCACGCAGTTCCATCTGTCGGTACTGGCAACGGCGGTATGTGTGTCCGGCCTCGCCGCAGTGGTGGCAGAGCAGGCGATGGTCAGGGGTGCGCCAGACGTCAGTCTACCTCGGTGCACGGCGCTGGGCCGCTGGCGAACGGTATGACGTCGGGGGGGGGGGGGGGGTGGCGGTGGTGGCGTCTGTCGACGGAAGTGCGATGGGGCGGCGTTTTGGCGTGGACGGGAAGGAGCGTTGTGGCGCAGTGCAGCGGCGTAGTTCATAGCTTCCGGCTCGGGTAGCGGTGCGTGGGGAATTTGAAGCGATTGCCGGACTTCTTCTCGCACAATGTCCGCGATCGAATCAAGCTGAGGCTGCGCCGAAAGCAACAGTTTGCGCACCTCTTCCCGCACGATCGCTCGGATCGTTTCACGCAGGTCGTCGGAGTCACTGGCTTGAGCAGCAGCGCATTCTGGAGTCAGGCGACGATTATACTGTCTGGTGCGGATATCCAGAGTTTTTTCGATGGTGTTTGCCTCGGATACAAATTCTTGGACGGTGTTTGGTGGATTTCTCATTAGTCCCGCGAAGAGCTCCTGTTTGACCCCTCGCATGAGGAAACGAACTTTCTTTTCCTCAGGCATGTTTGGGTCAGCGTGACGGAATAGGCGGGTCATCTCCTCTGTGAAAATTCCAACTTTTTCATTTGGTAGCTGAACACGGGTCTCTAGTAGAGCAGCGGCCCTCTCTTTTCCAGTCTTCAATCAATTCAGGGAGAGATTTGGTGAAAATTAAACCGAGGTATTTACTGCACCATTCTGTATATCACCTAAGAAATGAATTAGAATGGCGTACGGTCCCGAAGATTTTTAGGGGTCCAGTTTCAGCAAAAGACTAAGAACTCTTGTCAATTACTTGTATTGCATTGATTCCTGAAATACTAGGGGGTGTAATGTGCGGGATATTTGCGTTATCTTTCGTGAAAACAGAGTGAAAAAACCTGTTGTGCGTATCAGATTTTGCCCTTTTTTGTTCTAATACCAGTTAGAACAGCTTTTTTTTCTAATTTGAGAAATAGCGTTACGCGATATTGGTATGAAAATTGGTATGATATTGGTATGACCTGTGCCTGTCATTTTGATTTTCGGAGCCTTCATTCATGGGTTCTCCAGTGGGAAGGTATGCGTGGCTGTCTTAGAGTGCGATAATATATTAATGAAACTAATCGGTTGACTAATTAACCATTACCATTATCTTATCGTATCTAAATCATTATATACGTACGAAAATCAGACTATTGCTCTAACTTACGGAAAGTGTTTTTAATTTAAATAATTATATGCATCAGATCAAGTACCGCAATTTTCATAGGTAATCTGTGATCTTTCTATTGCGTAACATTTATCATTCTAAAATTGCATTTTATTTAAAAATAAACACTCAATTCTTGCCCAATCCCCCCCCCCCCCCCACAATGGTTATGCGCCAAGAGCAATAAGTGAACACGAACAAGAACCACAAATGGCTGCGAATCGACGGCGTTGAGCCGTAGATATCGACTACGTACAACCGGAGAATACTGGGTAACAGTAAGGACAACGGCTGCACCGAGAAGACTCCAAAGCCATGAAAAGCCTTCGCCAACGACAACGCGTCCGTAGATCCGTTAGAGAGCGCTTGGTGTCAGCGCGAGTTTCCGGCGCTGGAGTTGGGACATCCGCGAAACGTCTGTGACCGTGTACGCTTTAACTCGAACCTCTCAGCGATGAGGACGTATACAAAGAACCTAGCGTCATCTATCGCAGGGGTCGGCAACCTGCTGCCCGCATGCGGCTTGGGGGGGGGGGGGGGGTGATATTATGTGGCCTTCCGCACGACGTAGAAACGCCTCCTGTTATCGATTCCTATCTAAAGACGGACGTATACCGGTCTTGACTTAAATGGCTTTTTCACGTGTTGCCTACGCTTGGTTGCAGCTTTCTGACATGAATGTGGAAAATAAGCGTGATTTATAACCCATTTTGTAAAATTATTTTCAATTTGCCGAATTTTTTTTTCTCCTGCAAAGCTCACTTACACGCCAACCCTGCTCCCCAACCCATGTTTGCTATGCGGCCCCCTGCGGCGTCTCTTTCGTGCAACTTGACCCTTTACCTCAAAAGTTTGCCGACCTTTGATCTAGCTGAAGGCCAACAACCACCTAGAAGTCACTGAAAACAAATGACGTGCATTTTCTAGCCAATACCTAGAAACAACCTAAAAGCAGCCAAACAAGTCTTCGGAATCGTTCAGTTTCGCTGCATCAAGCCTTGTCCGACGCTGTGTCAATTGACGATCATAACTTAAGCGATTTATTCTGAAGCACGGCCGCCCACTGATACCAGCTGCGCTCCTCGAAGGTATACGGATATAAAATACTCCTGAAACCACTTCTGAACTGTACGTGTCGCGTAGACTTGCTCTGTATGTGTGCTGTTCTGATTCATAAGATTATGAGCGTAATTACTCATTGGTATTTCGGAACGTTAATGCTAGCGAAATGAACTGTTACAAAAACGACTGATTCAGGAGGCGAGATGATCACCGCTACCACATGCTCTAGTTAGTTACCATTACTACCTGCATTAGTAACCATTACTAACTGCGCCTGTAATGGCGAGGGCAGTAATAGTTGCCAACTTCTCCGTTATTAACAGCACTGACTACTTGGTTAGTAGCATATGTGACAACTAGTTACTAGAGCGAAGGCGAAGTGCAACCTTTTTTGAAAGTGTACGGAGCATCCAAGCTGTGGGCGACATTGGGCTGCGTGCTTCCATATCTTAAAGAGCGCAACCGCGGAGTATGCGGTCATCGTCGCATGCGGGACCGTCACGTATGACGTCATTGTAGGCGTGGTACATCGATGTCCGGCCTGGGTTTGGCACTGGTAATGGTGGTAAAGGAGCTCATGATTGATATGTGTGGTTTAACGTCCCAAAACGACCGTATGATTATGAGAGACGCCGTAGTGGAGGAATTAGGAAATCGAGACCATCTGGGGGTCTTTAACGTGCACACATATCTGAGAATACGGGCCTACAGCATTTTCATCTCCATCGAAAATGCAGCCGCCTAGTCAGGATTCGATCCCGCAACCTGCGGGTCAGCAGCCGAGTACCTTAGCCACTAGACCACCGCGGTGGGGCGGTAGTAAAAGAGTGATAACGGCGAAGCGCCAAGGTGCAGGTTGACAGCCCTCCAATGATCAGTTACCAGGCCTATGTATACACTTTAAGGCAGTGGCGGCAGAGACAGCGTTTTGGCTACTTTTTGGCTATCTTCTTGTTTCCTTGATTTTAAGCAATGTCAATACCTGGAAATGTCGCAGCCGCTGCCCTTGGGGAAGGCTACTTTCTGACTAATTCTTCCAAAATTTTGACTATTCTTCTGCCTTTTGAATTGAGCAACCCAGGTTTTCTCCTCTACGCTACCATTCCTACAGGTGCCGTCTCCTCCTGGCCATTTATTTGTTGACATGTTAGAGATTGACGATGTCATCACTAAGCTACCAGCCTAATAAGATTTGACGTTTTTCGGCTACACGCGATTATCTTCGCTTGCGTAGTCAAAAACAGGTCAAACCATGCGACGTCAATAGATCGCGCACATAATTCGGGCGAGACCAGGTACAAAGGACGTGAGGCTTCATGGTGAAGCAGACAGCAGACCATTCACAACTGATATCTCTCGTATATTCACCAATCGAGAACTTATTTCCTCACGACATCGTTTGAATACACAGCCGGCGCCACGGGCTGTGCTAAACTGACTGGAAGCGCCGGGAGAAAATGACGCGCTTATTCTCTGTATTCAAAGGCAGCAGCACAGTCGTGGTCTTGACGCCTTATATTTCTCAGAACCAGCTGATTAAGCTTTGGTACAGGGAACACGTTCACGGTGATAATATAAAGGTATTGTAAAAAAGATAGTGCCCGCTAGGCAATCGCGAGGAATAGAGCGACGACTACAAAATAGAACAGCCGGCCCGCAGCAAGGCTTCTGTCTCTTTGTCTCCTTCTTTTACAATGACGCAGCCGACAGGATACAGTCGGATACAGTTATTTTTCAATAAAGAGTGAAGTACAAGAGTTCTTACAGCATTTTCAAAGTTCGTTTGTGGGTTCTTGCACGCCAGATACTAGCGGTATATAGAAACACGAACCTCTTGGCAGCGAAAGTCGTTGATCTGACTGCATCGGCTGCCGGGGCAGTTGCACCTCACCGTCGGAATGGCGGCCGGAATGCGGCCTGCCTGCGAGTCGACGGTCCTCGTGAACGGGCACAACGCCCGGTCTCCGATTCGTGACGACAGCGGGTCGGCGAAACACGTGTTTTGACGCCTGGCGAACAGAAACACGTTCAGCCTCGCGCCGGTGCTGCACGTAGCCAGAAGAAGCACTGTTAGACACGTCACCGAAGCCGCTAGTAGCGGGCAACATTGTGCTGCGGTTCTCCATCGCCTCTGCGAACAGGATCGGCGCTGTGCGCTACGGGCTTCGCTGCATGCTTTCCTCACGTTCGTCTCCGAAGCTGTGCTCGAAGTAAAGCGAGAACAAGGTGTAACGATCGCGGCAGGAAAGAGAACGACGCCGATGCGGGTGTGTTCTTCCGCTATATCTATGGCACCCAGGAAAACGCGGTGACGGATTTCCTGGTAAGCATGCCAAAGACTGTCGGTCTGAAAGGTGCACGCCGCTATAGTGAAATACAAGGGTATCGAAACAAGTGGGCTCTTTAGCTGTTCGGAAATAGTTGTATACGAATAGCTATCATTCCACGGTAGTACAGATAGGCACTACAATTGCTTACATTCCTGCGCATAATAATACGTGCTTTTCTTACCTTCTGTCGTACACCATAGATTATGAACTTTGGTGTTCCTCATGATTTAAAAATGGGAAGATGGATGTTGACAGAAATGTTACTACTTTACGGTGTGCTTGTTTTTTTGAATGTCACTTCAGTGATGCAATTTACTTTTGTAACATTCGCTTCGAACATCCATAACTACTTTTCTCATTAGAGGTCTACCTCGATATGTAGATATTTTTATTACTCTTTTTTGCAGTAATTATCCAAAATCATCCTGCTTGCATTTTAGAACATACTATTGTAACAGCCAGTTTGTGCTTGTGGTGTCCCAAAACTCCCGCTTCAAAGGACTTATGTTCAAGAATATCGTGAACGAATCACGCCATGTAAGTGTTCATAGCCTGAACGCAGAGTTGCACCATTACTCCAGTCGCTTTAAGCTTGGTGTATATATCTTTTTATTGTTACTGACGGTGGCGTTTGAGTCATTAATGCAGCGTAACTGGCGGAACGAATTTCCAAAGTGTGCTTCAAACAGCCGGTTATCCGATGGCAATAAAGACAATAACCATTGATTCAATATAAAAACACCCGGTTCACATGGTACAAGTACCTGCTTCCAAGCTGAAACCATTGTCGTGACTCAGAGACGCTGGTTCTCAATGCCACTGGTTTGATTCTCATCCACATTCTAACTAATAAAAGACGTAAGTACACTCGTTTAAAATATTTGGATGCACAAACAGATTCATACATTAAATTAGAAGAACCTTTAAAGCGTGTTACGATAAACTTCAATCGAATTGAGTTGAGTTAATTTCTCCTGTTTACAACAGAAAGATATCAGAACCCAAAGACCGTGGGGCTTGACAAAGGCTTATGCTCCTGCAACAGCTCGACACGCTAGCCGTACATGACACACAAAAAAAACGAAAAAAGAAATGCTGTACGTAAAGAATCAACTGAAAGAGTCGTTAAAAGAAAATGACATGTGCAGATTGAAAAGCGTATAAAAATGTGAGTCACCTAAAGAAACGGGCTAATAAGAGTGCAAATATCGGTCACAGCCGCCTCCATCAGCCAGCCTCAATAACACGCACCGCTGACCTGTTTTTGCTCGAGTCAGTACCGCTGCCAACTGTCACCTTGGTGAAGTAGTGCTTCTCCGCCTACGTTTTCGTCAGCAGGTGAAGAACTCGGTCCAGGGCAGGTCATCGTTAAGTTAAAAGTACTTCGAGGCTTTCAATCTCAGCTCACCAACGAACGGAAGGCAAAACTCATGCATAGCAGTACAGCTTCAATAATTGTTTTCAGCTACTTCATGCTAAACGATTGAAAGGGATGTCGCGAGGAGGGCTTCATTCAGCAACGCAACCCAATATCCAACTGAACGACAGCTCGCCATCTCAGGATGGAGGTTGAAGTATTCACGCGGACGGACCTCACGGCGTACTTCAATTTGCAATATTTCTACGAAGCCGTGCATTAAGAAGTACATGAAATTAACAGGTATGCTTCAATGTTGCAGCATAGAGTAACGGATGAAACGTTGATGCAAAAAGATCTACCACTCATAAGAATTTTATCCCAACGCAAAGAGTCTGAAAGAACAGTGCCTGCTTCTATCCTGCCTATATATACCGAACCAGACTGCACTGCCATTGAAGGTCGGTCCGGATCCCGTGAGCTACTACTTCTTTCAATGTTCTTCGACTGGACATAGTGAATCTGTTTGACATAACTGGACGGGAGAATTTGACCGACTTTTTGCTCGCAAAAAAAAAAAAGCGGCTAATTTTTTTTTTCGTTTTTTTTTCGTTGCGTTTGTAATAAACACTATAAGACAACACACGATAGTGGCGCATCCTTTGAAGCAACAATTAGGAATCAATTAGCGGGAAGGCCCATGCAGTGCTCTCTACTCCTAATGCAGTGATTAAATTTTACACTCGTACGAAAGACGTCGAAAACACATCCAAACAAAAGCCCTATTCAGTAGACCGCTGTACGTGCGATGTTCTCCCGTCAGGCAACATGCGTGCAGGCTTGAAACGTATTGGTATGCGTGTCCCTACATAAGCTGCACGTGTAGCGTCCTTGCCACATGCGGCGTACCTGACAGTAATTAGAATAAGGGAATTATACATCTTACAACCTTGGATAATTACGCTCTCAGGTATAAATGTGAAGACTAGCTGATTACATATTGCCACTCGATATGCAGCTTTTGTGAGGGTCGTTTTAAAGTAGCTATGAATGCAATATAAATCCCGAATAAAAGAGAGGCACAGTATATATATGCAACAGCTATCAATGCCGTCTGCCATAGATTATTTGTTTTGTAAGGTTCCAAAATCCGACATATACACAGTACTCGCCTTATTTAGAACTGCTAAGGTCGCATTAATTGACATTCATACCCAACAAAACAATTAAGTGAACCCTGGAGGTGAAATCGCGATCGCTAAGCTCATTATTAGAGCAAAATCTTATCTGCTAGCTCAAATTCGAAATGTGGCTTGCACGCTAAAGATTTGTTTGTCTTGCAGGATAATTTAAGCCACGGGCTCTGATAAAGGCGAAAGCCTTATGTGGCATATTAGCAGAGGCGTGAGCAAGGGTAGCGTGTGGCGTGGTCACATACCTCCCTAATCATGTGAAGGGGGGGGGGGGTACCAAATCTGCAACCACATGATTACTCCGGCCTATTTTTGCACGTCATTGTTTATTGTGCCAGGTAAGGACCCTGCAGGATACAGACGGATTCAGACGATAGAGAGGGCTGACGATAACAGGTGTCGCATTACAAGAACTGATTACTCCCCACCTTTAGTCTTGTGGTGAGCTGTCGGCCTCTTATTGGAGAACCCAGCGCATACCTGTACTCATTGGTCGAGAAGTCCACGGGACAGTGGAGAACACGAACGGCGTCCTAATTCTCCTCTCGGGGTGTTAAACACGTATGTGCTAATGTTGAACGATTAGGAGTACTGTAAGCTAAATGTTTCAGTTCTTGCCTTGCGACATTAGCTATATAGCCGGTCATTGTGGTTGACGTTTTATGCATGTGAACATATCAACATGAGTACAAACTGTTTATTAGTGGAGAAAGATTTTGAAATACACTAATGAAAAACTCGAATTTCTAGGAAATGTTGCAATAAGCGATTAATATTTGAAAAAAAAAACACTAATCAGGACGCGTGTACCTGGTCCATTGACTCTCTGCGAGGCACTTTCAAAGCGCCGTTATCCCTGAATTTCTATTATTAGACGCGCAAGGGCGCCAACTGGGACTTCTACTTTATGCACTAAGGTTGGATTACCAAGAGATGTTCCAATGCGACCGCATTTCAACACTAACTTATCTCTTATTTTTGCGGGGTGTTTGCGTACTCATGCACCTTTTCTGTGTCATTCTCCATTCGCTACAATATATCATTACTATAACCGACATGGTGTGCAATTATCTTCAGGTGTCGCCTCAAAGCGTGTCAAACTTCCGCACCAACTTGACCGTTAGTACGACGGACCTCTTCGTCACTGCCAAAGAAGCAACTGCTCCTGAGTATCTCTCCAAGTGGGCGTGACTGGAACCTCTGGAATCCTTGATCTAACAGAGAGACTCGGCTCTGTCTCGACACCAGCCAAGTTGGTGTGATCAGCTTAGGACGTTTTGGCGGGAACAGCCTGCGCGGTCTCGTGCACGTGACCGATCGCAAGGACCACGGGTTGAACGCGTCGACGCATTGGTCGGCCGCCGCGTAGACACAAAGAGTTGCTGCTTCTTCCAGCAGTACCAGCTTCACGTTGCACGTGCGGTCTGGAGTCTCGCATCGGGTCGTCCAAACCTCCGGGAACAATGGCGAGGACAGGTCGGCTTCGGTGGAGTGCCTGGCGAGGCTCTTTCTGAAGGAGACTCTGAAAGTACACGTTTCCCTACGACGAATAAGGAAACGAGAGAACAGTCTTGCAGTGGAGGTGTCTCCGGGACCGGACGCCATTTCTCGGCTCTCATCGGCTGCCGAGACGCCGACGCCAGCGGTGGCGCCTGGTAAGACTTCTCCGGTGGCGTCTTCGGGAAGCAGCCTCATCAGCGCGTCCTTGGCTTTGTTCATGTCGGCATGAAGGAGCGACGTTCGCGTGTCCAGCGCTCGCATGTGCTCCAGTAGCTCGTTCATCTTGGACTCGAACGCTGTGTGAAGAACGGCGGAGACGTTTAGCGCGTGACTAACGTACGCACTTTCGTCGTCAAATCGACAGAAGCTGCAGGCTTGACTGGCTTTTCTATATGTAAGACACTGAATATGAAAGGCGAAGTGGAGCTGGCGCCACGCAGAAGCACTAGTGCTCCTATTGATAAAAATAGGAATGTAATTATGATTCTCGCGACCTTTATTTGTAAAGGTGTAACTAGCCTAGTATGAGTGTTTCGTAGCAAGCTAAAAAATCTGCTATTCATTGTTTCAAGTTAATTCACGAGCATTTAACATGAAAAGCTGTTTCGTAAATCGTTCCTTGCGAGTCGATGGCAGAAAAATATCGTCATTAACGGTATGTGCTACAGAAATGAAGTTAAATTTAACTATTCACCACTGGCCCACTAAGAATGGAGAAGGCAACAGCGACGCCAACAAATGGCTCAGAAGGGATGGCGGCGAGCCGAGCCGAAGACCCGAGTACGTATATAGCGAGATAATGAACGGGAAAAGCCACGGTGGCGGCGGACAGGTGCCGGAGGCGACA